TGTAATGTCCTATAATTTTGTGTAATAAATTTGTATGTATAAGTTATGTTTATAAGTTATCATAAGAAGTTCATATATATGCATTTTGGTTGCACTTGTATGATTTGATATGGTGTGTGTATCTTAGCCTTGAAATGTGTACTTGTGGGAAATATGGCAAGAGAGTTGAGATACTAATACAAATGCATGTTACTATGTTTTGAATTGATGTGATGTGTATAATTTGGCTAAAGAAATTAATTATGTGTAAACATGCAAAGAGGCCCTTTTTAATGAAAAATGAGGGCATTTCGGTGGCCAAATTTAATTTTGAATGTATGATTGATTATATAACTTTTTAATCATGTGTGTATTGGTCCATTAGATGTGATTGAAGCCCTGGCTGTCACTAATGATATAAGGTTATGGTTTGAGGCACTCGGATGTGGTGAAATGACATAAAGTGGTTATTTGGCATCCAGGCATCCAATTTTAAATGAAATATTAGATTGGCTTGAAACTTATGTTATTAGTTAGATTATAAGATAAGCTATATGTGAGCATTTAAATTACTCTAATTAAACATCATATGTAAAAATAGTACATGTTGAAAATTCATCTCAAATGAACTATCATAATAGTTTTTGCTATCATGTTCGCCGCAACGCATGTTACAGAACAAGAATTTATTCTTTTGTATCATATGTCATGGCATGGGGGGCACAAGCCACCTCATATGTGCCATTTTGTGCAAAGATGACCTTTTGTCCTATTTTTCATGTGATATGATTTATGTATTTCCATTCTTCTCTTGTGCTTATATACCTATGACTTTGAGTTTTTATATATAAAAGGTTTTTGAAATCTCAAATATTTTTAAAAATTTATTTTTATATTATAGCCCTTCTTGATTATAGTAAGCTTAGAGGTTTAATGACTCATCATTCCCTATGTGTGATTGTTGCAATGATTAAAGGGTTTCCCATTTGCCCTCTATTAAATATTGAAAATAAAAAAATATGTTATCAAAGTATGTATATTTAATAAGAGTAAAATTTAAAAAAAATAAATTTCTAGATATAGTTAATGAATTTTAAAATTTTTCTTGATTTTGATAAAATATGTTAAAAGAAATTGATAAATATGATAATTGAGTATATATACTACTTCCGCTTCAAATTACAAGACACTTTTAAAAGAGTTTTTTTCATTTCAAAATATAAAATACTTTAAATAGATTAAAATTTTATTAAATACACTAATTTTAATGTCATCCTTTCTCTCTCTATAATTAATTTCTATCTCTCTTTTTTTAATATATTAAATTATGAATATTTTTAAATGTTTATATTTTTATTTTAAAAAGATAAAATTGTTAAGTATATTTAATAAAATTTATTAACATGTAAAATTTTATTTAAAAATATTTTATAATTTAAAATGAAGGGAGTATTTTGAAAGAATCCCAAGTGAGCATTAATTGTGGTACACAATTTAAGAACCTAAATGAATATCAGGCGCACGCGAGTTCAAGCACATCGTACGAAGGTGCATCCCCACCAGAAAGGATAAAATAAATAAATGCATTATTAAATTATGATCAATAATGCTGATGGCGAGAAACAATAGTCCAACGTTGAACAAGAGGACATTAAAAAAAATCTGAATAATTAATTTTATTATGGGGAACATGATCAAATGATTAAATATGAGGGAATATATACCCAAGTTTTAATGAATTAAGTTAGCGTGTCATCATCGCATTGAGGACTCCGAGTAATGGATGATCAAGGTAGAGGCGAAGTCAAAAAGAGGCGAGAAAGAGATGTTTTGCACATGTATAATTGCATCATCAATCACCCAAACTAGTTGACAAATAGTACCTCCAATTTTATCTACAAGTCATATTTAAGAAATATTTATAGTTGTTTTTATAAGTCATTTTGTATAAAATAATGGATCATTAATTAATTTTTCCTACTAAATGAAACTTAGTTCAGCTAGTTAAAGAAATTGAATCATTTTATACTGAAATTTGTAATCTCATTAAATAAATATACTCAAAGTATCCCTGAAGTATATGTGATTGTGAGGCCAACATGAGATATAAAAAAAAACTCTATTTATTTTTACTATACATATACTAATAATATCTTAGATCATAGCCCAAAAAACTTTTATTAGATCATCATAGTTGTATACTCTTTTTGAACTAACTTATAAGGTGAAGAGAAAATATTTTTAAGGTCATATTTATAAGTTATATTATTAAATTTTTATTTATAAATGTCCTTTTTTACTCTCTATTAAATGTTGGAATTATAAAGTATGATATTAAAGTATTTATATTTAATAAAAGTAAAGTTAAAATATGTTCAACATTTTGCACAAGCATGTCAAAGGAGTAAATGATCAAACAATGTGATATACCTAATTTTTAAATTAAACGGCGGGTTCTTGAGATCCTTTATTACAATTTTCCTAAATGCAAATGCTTAAAAAGAGAGGAAATGAAGAAATAAAGATTGAGAAAAATGGAAGAATTGCATGGTGTGAGAAAACATAATATTGAAAATAACATAAAAGAAATTACAAGAAATATAAGATAGAAAACTAAAATAAAAGTACTAGAGCATTGTGACTACTATTCTATTGGGAGCTAGTGTTCTACTGGTTATTGGAGAACTCACTTCTATGTAGCGGACACATGATACTATAAAATAACTACATTAAATTAGATGAAGGATGAAGTGTCTTATTTTATCAGACTAAGTATTAAATTAATTTGAGTGTTTTTTGGGTTGATTGGAATTGAAGTTGTCGAAGAGATTGGAGAGATCATATATGTGGCTTGCTTCTTTTTCATAGACACAAAATGATAGTTTTCTCATAACCCCACCGTCCACATTTCTAGAACCCTTATTAGCAGTTTCTCTTAAGGTTTCTCCACTCTTGCCTGCCTACCAAAGTGATGCATGGGTTTGAACCAAAATTATTTCTTTTAGCCCAAATAATTAGGTTAGGGCAAAAATTACATTTTAATCCAAACATGAATTTATTAAATTTTTAAATAGATTTAATAAGTTTTAAAATTTTTTTTAGTTTCAATAAAACATTTTAGAAATAATTTATAAGTAGAATAAGGAGAATATAACTCACTCATTTCATTCATTATTATAAGATTTTTTTTTTTTGAAATTTCATGTTAAAAAATATAAGGTATTTTAGGTTGTTCAAGGTGTAATTAATATAGATTTTTTCTAAAAATTCCATTAATTCAAAATGTAATTAATAATATTTTCCTGTGATCATAAAAAAAGAAATAAATGTAAATAATTTTTTGAGTTTATGTTTATGTTTATGTTGCATGTTAAATGTAATTAATAATATTTCATGTTAAATGTAATTAATTCAAAATTATATTAAAATAATGTTTATGTTTATATTTACATAAACATTTTACAAAATATTAAACTTAATAAACATAAATGATATTAAAATTAATAAAAAATAAATATAAATTATGTTAATTAATTGATCACTTATTGTATTAAATTCTTAATTAATTTTTCAACGAGAATTTTTAATTTATTAAATTATTATTCTTATATGTTTGAAATATTATTTTTTTCAACTTATATATTTAAAATTTAAAAAATTGATTTATAAATAAGTTTACATAAATGACTCTTAAACTTATGTACTATATAAATAACTATATATATATATATATATATATATATTATTTTTGTCAACTTATATGCTATAATGCTAATTTGGAAACTTAAATGGCTTTTAAGCAAATTTATGTTAAAGAGAGGTATCTTAGTCTGAAATATATGATTTAATGGTTGGTTAACAAATTTTTTATCATAATGGCTGGTTAAAAATTAGATTGATGGAAATTGAATCTTTAAAATAGATAGGAGGTGTGTGTTATGTAAATTTTAATTTCAAGGGAGGTTTATATAAATTTTAAAAATAGGAGAAAGATTTCTGTAATCAAAATAGAATAGAAAGGGAAATTGATAAATTTTAATTTTAATTAAAAGTGTCTTATAGTTTTTTGTCCTTCAAACAAGTCTTATATGCAAATACATTATTTAACAGTACGAGACTATTATTTAACAATATGTGATTTGAAAGAATTAAAAAAAATTTAAAACTAACAACAAAACCAACAAGTATAAAGGACTCATAGTATTTGACCAAAGCCATTGGCTAAAATAATGGAAAAAACAATCACTTTGAAAGGGCTTCAATATGTAGATAGAAGTATCATATAATTCTATAATCTTTCAAGTTCTTAATATAGGATGAAATTAATCAATTTTGTGTTTACAAAGAAATGATATTATATCTTTAAATTGTTAAAAAATCTAACGATTTAATTTTGTCTTTCTTTACAATTACTCAATCCACTAAAAAATATAAAACATTTTTAAAGAATTAAATATTAAAAAATATCAGACATTTTTAATATTTTAAGCTGTAGTCATTAAATTTTTTTTAAAAAAATTTCTAATAAATAAACCACTTTATATTTATTTTAAAGTGAAACACCCTATTAAATAAAAAAATATGAAAAAATGTTATTTGTTTGAGGACAAGTAACTTTATCGGAGGAAAAGTTTGGTTAAAAATATCTTATATTTTTAATAGAAACAGTAATATTCATAATAAATTATTGTCTAAAAATTCAATAATAAATAAAAAGTAAAATTGTAAAAAAAAAAAAACATGAAGTACTCTCACTTTGCCTTATATTAAGATAAAAAATATTAAAAATTAACATCGCAAATCAGAGACCAATAATGCGTGATGCCCTATCTCTCTTTTTTAGACATAAAGAATAACATTATCACTTCATCAGAGAGATTAATCTCTCAAGAATACTTAAAATATTGAGAGCAGAGAGTGAAACATTCCAAATAGGCAGTATATCCTACACACACGTGTTAGGGAGATATATTCTTTCTTGCAAGAAATGTTTGATAATACGTAATAAGGAAATCCAAATATAAAACAAGACATCTTCATATAGGCAAGAAACCAAGGATAGTTTAGAAGCCATTACATATAATATAACATAAATAAACAGACCAATGGCCATAAGAAAGAGTACCTTAACCTTAAGTCCCATCCATCTTCATCTCCCACTTCTAAAAGAAAAGTGACCAATCTAAAGCATTCAAAAAAAATCCCCCAAGACCAATTCTGAATATGACTACCCATCTCCTCCTCCTCTTCCCCCCCCCCCCTCTCTCTCTCTCTCTAACCTGTACAAGTCGGAAAATATTAATTAATGGCCTAATCACCTACATTAATCCAAGCACCTAACCCCTTTTTTTCCAGCTAATGTTTGTTTTATTTTCTAACCCTTGCATTCTCATCTTTGCCCTTTGCAAAGTCCCTGAATTGCCCATTACTGCTTCATTGGTCAGTCAATAATATTCCCCTTTCTTTCAAGCCACGCTTATTATGCTATCTCCACCGCCGCTGAACTTGTCAGACATAGCCTGAAAATCCGACGGCGATGACTGGCTGCTTGCCTGCGACTGCTCATTTGATGTTGACGGCGATGTCGGCAGCTTCAGCGATAATGGTAGGGGATCTCTTATTGGAACCTTCTCTTTCAGATTTAGAGTGGCCATTTTCGATGACGGAGGGACTGGTAGGATTGGCATCGGCCTAATAGGCTTCGCTGATCTCTCTCCTGCCATCGTCTTGGTCGGAAAAGTTGGACTGGGTAAGCCGCTGTAGTATAACTGTGGATGTGTGGGCGGTATCGCCGTTTCATGGTGAATTTGTTCTTCTTCCATTAAAGAGGGTTCCATCACCTAAAAATTCAAATCAAGCGAAATCAAGTTAGATCGGAGAATCTGATAATGACTGGAATGAATGAGATTAATCAATAATTAATAGTTACTACTGTATCGGTGGTAATGTCAAAGAGACTTGATCTCCGGCGTCTTCGGTTCTGGTTGTGGCGGCGAAGGAAGTACTTCTGAGCATGACTCGCCACCTGAGTTGGCGTCCGAGTTTTGACGAAGTTCTTGGAAATCCCTCTCCAATCTCCTTTCCCGACTTTCTGTAACCCCAACAGGAATAGCCTGTGCTCTTCCTCCGTCCAGGGAACACCTACAAAGCCAATCAAATCCAAAAAAAGAATACTCAATCCCCAAGTCCAAACAAACCTTTCGTTTTCAATCCACGAAAGCTCCCAAGTCGCAATTATGTATTACCTCTCTTACGCTCGCGCGTCTGTCCGGAAGCGTGAACGACGTCGTCGGAGGCATAACCAGCGTCGACGGCGTTTGAATCCTGAGCCTGAGCTTCATACTGCGACAGATTCGTCATACTAGCACTCTTCCTGAACGAGTTCCCTTGAGTGAGTCGCACGCCAAACAGCATAATCCCGTTATCCTTAGACGAACCATCGCCGCCGCCGCCGTGGATGCATGTACGGGAGTTATGGCCGTTGTTGCCACACTGCGAGCAAGTGCGAGACATGGTGGAATAGAATCGTACGATAAAGGAGCGTCTCTCACAGTTTCGATTCTATTTTTCTCATTCCACACCAGAGAGAAAGCAGGAGCGCGCAGAGAGAGAGAGAGAGAGAGAGAGAGAGAGAGTGAGGGAGAGAGGAAGAGAGGGAGACTTCTGGTAGTAAAAGGAGAGAGGATGGCAGGTTTGGGTCATATATAGAGTTGTGTGATGATTGGTTCCATAACGAGGGTTACGAGGGGGACAGATTCAGTGTATCCGCCGCTCACTGTTTATCATACGCCATTAATTAATTATTACACCTTATTGCTATGGGAAAAAAAAAATGTGAGGGTGCATTCTAGAGTCGATAATTTAAACATACTGAACTTATTTAAATTAAATTTAATTTAGGTTAAGCTTGATATACTTTTTTTAAAAAATTTATATAATCAAATCTGATCTTAACACTCTCAAATTAGCTCGAATACTTAAAACTTTTTAATAGTATTTTTTTTATCAATTTAAATTTTTAAATAATTCTATTAAACATAAAATATTATTTTAATTTTAAAAAAATAAAATAAAAAAATAAATTATTAACTTTATACTTAAGTAGTCTTGTTATTATTTTATTATATTATGTGTAATTTATTTATGAATATTTTCTTTATTTACAAATTAATATCTTAATTGTTTAAATATTTCTTTTATCATAGTTATATATAAATATTTTATATATTTTAATTAAATTATATTATTTTAATTTTGATTAAGTTAATCTTAATTCAATTATAATTAGACTATTAAATTAAAATTATTATCTCAATTAGTTTAAAATTTTTAATAACTTTTAGATAAATTATAATTTTATTTTTATGAATATAAAAAAATAGCTATCATTGTATTATATAAAAAAATTATTTAATTACAATAAAATATTATTTTTTTAAATTATTTTTCTTTAACTTTTTATATTATTTAACTCTTACATATAAGAAATTGTTATTCTAGTTTACTCTTAATTTTTAACTAAGTCTAATATGGATAATAACCAAGTAATTATTCAAAATATTATTGTACTTATTATGTTTATTTAGTAGTAAAGTCAGAAATTCGTACATGCCTGAGTTTTATTTTTAAAATTATTTTTAATTTTAATTTTACATTAAAATTAATTATATTAATTTATAAAAAATATAAAATTAATTTTTTAATACGTAAATAATTTATAGGACTCAAAAATTTAAAAAAATTGAGTCTTAAAATATAAAAATTAATATTAAAATATATTTTAAATATTATTTTGAGATATTTTATTGATTAAAAATAATAAAATATGAAATATAACTATTTTAAAATTTTTAAAAAATAATTATATTAAAAAACTTAAATATATAGTATTTTGGTATAAAATAATATAAAAATTTAAAAATTAATTAATATTTATTATATTTTATATATTTTTTAAAAAATTTATTTTTTATAGGGTATTCAGGCCAAGCCTGAACAATAAAAAAATAATATTTTTTGGGCTTAGCCCTAAATTTTTCGGGTAGGTTCGGGCCTGCCCGTCAAACTTAGCCAAATTATCGGCTCTAATACATTCTTGCTCTAAGCAACTAATATCTTAAATTATTTATCGTAATGATTTTATTTCTAAAATAATTAACATATAGCATATTTTTTCTTAACATTAAATACCCCAAATTGTTAAAAATGCTGACAAGACTACAGTTTAACTACAAATATCATCTGTCATGCCAAATAAATCTAAGTTAAGATGTACTTTTGCTACATTTTAATTACTTTAATGGCAAAATTATTGCAATGTAAATAGTATAATATATTGGGTACTTCTTGGAAAATAATTTAAGGACAAAATTGCATCTTAACATAGATTCATTTAGCATAACATGTGACATTTTCAGCCAAACTTAAATCTCAGCTAGCATTTTTAATTGTCAACATTGAGATATTTAATGTCAGAAAAAAAATATTATATTTTAATTACTTTAGAAGCAAAATCGCTATAACGAATAGTTTAAGACACTAACTGCTCCTCAAAGAATAGTTTAGAGGCAAAAATATACCTTAACACAACAATAAAAAAAAAAATAGGAGTATCCAAGGTACTGAAAACCGGACCGGTCATTGAATCGGCCAAACTCAGGGGTCAAGGGTCATGGGTTCAACCAGGGGTCAAACCGGAATCAGACCGGTCATAATAAAATAATATAATTTAAATAAAAAATGTATTAATTCTCAATACGTTCATACATATCTAAGTCTTAATATCTCATATAACATATAAAAATAATTCTAACAATAATAAAGTATAACAACATTTCTATATTTTTTTAAAATAAATGATAAAAAAATTTCAATGAGTTAAAATAATAGAAATAAAAATTTATTTTAAAATAAAAGATAATAAATAAAAGTGATATATTTTAAAAATTATTTAGTTAAATAATTCAAATTAAAAAATAATATAATATAATATATATTTATACTTTTTGATTTCTTTTTGCTTCTTCCGTCCCCTCATCTGACATAAGTATGATTTTTTTACCCCATGACTCCTATTGACCTATCATTAATCATTATTATGTTAAAAATAAATATACATCTTAGTTAATCATTATCAATTTTTTTTTAAATTTCAACCCGCCCAACCCGCCTGAACTGAGGGGTTGGGCGGGTTAATCCCGGGTCACCGGGTTAACTCGGGTTAACTTAAATCACAATAAAAAGAAAAACCAGACCGAACACATGGCCAAGTCACCGGTTCACCGGTCGGACCAGCCGGTTCGGTCCAGTTTTAAAAACAATGAGAGTATCACATGAGGGACTTGGCAAGAAACTTATTTACAAATAAGGACTAATAACAAGTTTTAATTGAAAAAAGTCTATATTTTTATTTTAATAATAATTTATTTTGTATTGTTTCTTGTTTTTGAGTAAGTTTCTTATCAAGTTCTTACATATGATTTTGCCAACAAAAAAAAAATCACTCCTTCAAAATTATAAGGAATTTTTAGTTAACTTTCACTTCAAGATTAATATTATTAAAAATTATTCACTCTTCTCATATCCATCTTGATTCCATGAGATAATTTAATCTCAGATAAATATGAAAATTTTATTAATTTTAAATATTTATTAATAGTATTTTTGAAAAAAAAATCTCATTAATTACTCCTAAAAAATATTTTAAAATGTCTTATGTTTTTAAACTAATTATATTTCTTAAAAACTATCATATAATTATGAATAGAGATAGCATATTTTTTTGAATACATCTATACAGAAATAAGATAAAAGACTGTTATGGAAAAGTGTTAATTAACACTTCTTTGAATTTCTAAAATAACATATAAATAAACTAAAAATTTTCCCTTAAAAAAACTTATATTGTGAAGGGAAGAAATTATTTCGAGTAAAGAAGAAGTAATTGTTCTGAATTCTGAGCCATTTCTACGTGGAACGGTCAATCAGTGCCGTCAACTTTTTGCTTTCACATTTTCTTGGTGTGCACACCAGTGACTCATAATATTTATGGAAACAATGGGCCCTCATAAATGGGGATAATATTTTATGCATGCCATGTTTTAAAATTATATATTCCAAAATATATATATATATATATATATTATAGCACCTTGTTTCACACATAATTTGATTAATTGATTAATGTTTTTTTACCAGGAATTTGATAAATAATTTGCAATACATATGATTTCCATGCTCTGTAGTTCATTCCATGCTCTGTACGATATATATGATTTATGTTTTTTTTTTGTTATATGTATCTGTATATATATTCATAGACTATTATATGTATTGATATATTTAATTTATCAATTTTATAATATTGTAATCAACATCTATATCAATGTAAAATATTTTGATATAATTATTTCATATAGTTCTATCAATCTATATTCAGGATGTTTATATTGTTTTTTTTCCCTACTTATAATATCCAAACCATCAATTTTATATGAAGGTAAAAGTAACATGACCTCTATAATTTTTAGGCATACAATGTTTTATAATGGTGTTCTTCGTTGAATTGGACAAGTTTTAATTTTTCCCCCCACAATAAACTATCTTTCAACATTTTTATGCATTTTACATTTTTGTTCCAAAAGTATTTAAATAGGGTTCAAGTGGTGAAGGAATGATTAATTTTTTTTAGAAACTATTAATTCTTATCTCTCTCGTTCATTGTATTGAAAATTTGAAATTAAACGAAATCTATATAGTTATGACCTCATTTAAGCATAACTATTAAAAAATTGTTTTAGAGGAAAGAAATTAAAGGTCAGTAATATTGGTCAATATAACATAAATTGATAAATTAAACTACCGATTTTGTCCCATTCACTAGGATAATCTGATCCAGCTGTCACATAATTAATATAATCAAATCAAAATTATTATTTTTTTTAAAAAAAGTCCTTATTCCTTAAGATTAATTTTTCAAACGGCCTAAAATAAAAAGATATATAATATAAAATGTATATCATGTTAGGTTATTTATAAGTAATAAAATATTAAGAAAACATAATATTTGATTTCTATAATTTTATCAAATTTTGATTTAAATCATTGTAGTTTTTTTAGTATTTTCAATCTCTATAAAAACTAAAACCACTAAAAAAATTGGAACTATAGGGACCTAAAAACAAATGTCACCTAATATTTTTAAAATTATAGAAACTGAAAATATTAAAAAAATTATAAGAACTAAAAACAAAATCGGATGAAACTATAAGGATCAAAGATTGTGTTTTTTCTAAAATTTTTAATTCCTTTATTAAAAATATAAGATATTTTTTAATCTTTTAAGATATAATTATTATTTTTTTAAGTGTTCCTTTTGAATAAATTTTTATACTTATTTTAAGATATTTATAAAAATATAAAAAGATAAAATTAATTTAAAAATAAATAATTACTTTTATTAAGAATGAGATTTAATTAAAAATTTATATTTATTTGTGGAGGGAGTATATGAGATTTGAAAAAGTGATTAATTTTTAAAAAATAAAATAATATTGACCTTATAACAAAGGGAGTAGGCCTATCATGAATGAGCCATGTGCTACCAATATGAGGACTGCTAAACCTTCCAATCATAAGTGGGCTATACAATATCCTAAGATCAGGAATGCTAACTA